TTATGTAAGAAGTAGTATCGGTTTTTTTATTGCATTGAGCTTGCATCTATGCATCTACTGTTTGATGTTCATTTCATATATGTGAATACTTTGACTTAAGAAGGAGTCTTTTGTTTACACGTTATGATTAATGCTTTATTGTTGTAGCTGAACGAAGAACAAACATTGACTCTTTTCGAATGCAAATATTTTTTATAATTTTTCAGTCACAATTAAGTTATAAGAATTTTTTTTCAGCCAGATGACGCTGCTGTTAACAAATTTGCTCGTAGTTGCTGCTGGAGTAACTGTTATCGCGTAAGCTTTTTATTTCACCTTTACGTTTACCGTATAAAAATCTCTTTGCAATTACAGTTTTATTACTGCTAGGATTAAAAATAATATACAAAATTTTATTTTTTGAAAGAAACTTTAGTTTAGCAGACTGAGTATATATAATTTCGTTAACAGTTTACTTAATCGTTTAGTTATTTGATCTGCAAATAAAGCAGATAAGAAATAAAGTAGAAGCGGAATTTTCTGTCAATTATTAATTAGATGCATATAGTTTGTTACTTTTGTCATTATTTGAAATTATTTCTATTATTATTTAGAGAGCGACCAATGCGATGCTATCAATGTAATTCAGCTGACGATTTAGATTGTGACTCTAGTGATGAAAAAGCTCTGAAGCCTTACATAAAATTATGTCCACTACTACAAGAAGGAACTTATGCAGGTCATGAACCTGTCGCTTGTCGTAAAATTATTCAGGTATACGAAATCTTATTTCACATTTTGTGTACACAGTTAGCCATATTATCTGGATCAGCGAAATACACTTGCAGTGTTTGTATTTGATTTGTCATTGTTCTATTTATTGCAACAAAAGGACATTGTGAAAGAACACTTTAAAGCATTCTAGCCAAATATTGCTGCTCTTTTATTGATTTTAGAGTTTGAGAATTCTAGAATGTGGAAGATTTGCCAACACAGATAATCAGGGAATGTGCGTATACGGGTGACAAAAATCTCGATGGAGTTCGTAAACAGGGTAGTAAAGCTATCAAATTCTTGTACTATCAGTGTGAAAATGAAGACGGAGTAAGCTAGCTTTTTCTGAAATCTATTTTTGTCAATTACTGTTAGACTTTATTTTGTACTGAAATTCTAGGCTCTTCATTGAAGAGAAAATTAAACCAACCGGTTTTATTTATTGAGCAAATTTAGTGAAAAGCTGTCTTGATGTGCTACACATTTATTTATTTCGTTATTCTAAAACTGACAATTATTCCAGAATACACCATGTAACGGCGGACGACAGTTAGTGATACACTACCTCACCTTAGCCACCTCATTTATAACAATCATCACTGCGTTACACATTTTATGAACTTAGACAATTTTTTATCTAACAGAATCCATTTGTGCCATTCCTCATATGTTTATACACACTTTCACACTAAAAGAAAATGTAGTGTTTTTCTTTCGCTGTTAGCGTAGAACATATTCATATGTGCATGAGAGAAATTCATGTCACTTACTTTATATAGGTTTCTTCTTAATTTCTAGCAGTATCATATATATTAAATAAGCAAATATATTTGAAACCTTATAAGAACTGTACGTATTTACTATCCTAGGAGCAATGTGTGCATGTTGTTCTAATTTGTTCAACTTTTATAATTTTCACGTTTGACTCTTAGACTGCAATATTTTATCACCTAACACTGCACGTCAAAACTTTAGTATTTTTGACGTATAGTGTTATCTCTAGCGATAAAAGCATCTTCCTAATCATTTAGATTTCGTTATTCCAAACACGAATCAGAATGTGGTGATACGATGTATTGTTTTCTCTTTTTGCAATCATAATTACAACAGCGTGTTGTAATGAATTCGATGTGCTTGCAATTCAGCAAATTTTTGCATATCATATTTTAATGCGTATAAAAAATATAAAATTTGAAGAGTAAAGAATCGACCTGATTTTGCATTGAAAGCAATTTGCTCGCATATGAATTTTGGTGTGTTTTTTGGAAAAGACATGAATGAAGGAACGATTTATTGCGCTATTTAAGTCGAAATGAATTTTTTTCAACGTAAATTCATCACTTAGACGACATAACTGCATAGCAGGATATTTATTTGCTAGCAAGCGTGAGTGGGCAAGTAAA